TGCATACATACTGTAGGATATGGATTTACTTATACAAAACTGAACCCATTCACCCTGATGACACATATGAACTCTTCCAGTTCAAAGGTTGGAATAGTTCATTATGAAATTTCAGGGGTGAGTGAGTTAAAGAGAATATGCAGTGCAGGCAGTTTATTGTGCTATAGTATCACATCTGACTTTCTAGTGTTTGGTGGGGTCCACTACAGATTTACCAAGTGAGACTAACAGGCTTCGATCATAGTAGGTCCCCCCCACCCCCACACAACACCTCTACAGCACATCCCTGTTTGTCATACAAACATTAGAAAAATATTATATAACATGATGACATATCGAAAACACAGTCATACAGTTAAGTTAAAATCTTGGTAACCAAAACCTGTACACTTACCTGATTTGGCAGGGTATATCCTTCTGATCTTAAACTATTCTCAAGGAGAACACATTTTTTACAGAAATGTTAAAAAAGAGCCGAGCCTAGATAAATATATAACAGATACCACAGTGTAATACTGTGGGGACCCGGCCATTAACAGGACACATCGAGTTAGAGCACTTAATCTACACAGATTCCTGATGACGCGGATTAAAAACGAACTCTTTACAGGAAACCAGAGGAAACTGTCAAGTACCTCTTCACAGCGTTGTTGTTCCTGGTCAACTTAAACAGTACAACATTACCTTGTCAACTTAAACAGTACAACATTACCTTGTCAACTTAAGTACAACATTACCTTGTCAACTTTAGTACAACATTACCTTGTCAACTTTAGCACAACGTTACCTTGTCAACTTAAACAGTACAACATTACCTTGTCAACTTTAGTACAACATTACCTTGTCAACTCTAGTACAACATTACCTTGTCAACTTAAACAGTAAAACATTACCTTGTCAACTTTAGTACAACATGACCTTGTCAACTTTAGTACAACATGACCTTGTCAACTTATATAGTACGAACGTAACTCTACAACTTATATAGTACAAAAGTAACTCTACAACTTATATGGTACAATAGTAACTCTACAACTTATATAGTACAATAGTACCACTCCAACTTATATAGTACGATAGTCACTCTACAACTTATATAGTACAATAATAACTCTACAACTTATAAAGTACGACAGTAACTCTACTACTTATATAGTACGATAGTAACTCTACAACATATGTAGTACGATAGTAACTCTACAACTTAAATAGTACGATAGTAACTCTACAACTTATAAAGTACGATAGTCACTCTACAACTTATATAGTACAATAGTAACTCTACAACTTATATAGTACAATAGTAACTCTACAACCTATATAGTACGATAGTAACTCTACAACTTATATAGTACGATGGTCACTCTACAACTTATATAGTACAATAGTAACTCTCCAACTTATATAGTACGATAGTAACTTTACAACTTATATAGTACAATAGTAACTCTACAACTTATATAGTCTGATAGTAACTTTACAACTTATATAGTACGATAGTAACTTTACAACTTATATAGTACGATAGTAACTTTACAACTTATATAGTACGATAGTAACTTTACAACTTATATAGTACGATAGTAACTTTACAACTTATATAGTACGATAGTAACTTTACAACTTATATAGTACGATAGTAACTTTACAACTTATATAGTACGATAGTAACTTTACAACTTATATAGTACGATAGTAACTTTACAACTTATATAGTACGATAGTAACTTTACAACTTATATAGTACGATAGTAACTTTACAACTTATATAGTACAATAGTAACTCTACAACTTATATAGTACGATAGTAACTCTACAACTTATATAGTATGATAGTATTTCTACAACCTATATATAGTACGATAGTAACTCTACAACTTATATAGTACGATAGTAACTCTACAACTTATATAGTACGATAGTAACTCTACAACCTATATAGTCCGATAGTAACTCTACAACTTATATAGTACGATAGTAACTCTACAACTTATATGGTACAATAGTAACTCTACAACTTATATAGTACGATAGTAACCTCTACAACCTATATAGTACGACAGTAACTCTACAACTTATATAGTACGATAGTAACTCTACAACTTATATAGTATGATAGTAACTCTACAACCTATATAGTACGATAGTAACTCTACAACTTATATAGTACGATAGTAACTCTACAACTTATATGGTACGATAGTAACTCTACAACCTATATAGTCCGATAGTAACTCTACAACTTATATGGTACGATAGTAACTCTACAACCTATATAGTACAATAGTAACTCTACAACTTATATAGTACGATAGTAACTCTACAACTTATATAGTACGAAAGTTACACTCCAACTTATATAGTACAATAGTAACTCTACAACTTATATAGTACGATAGTAACTCTACAACTTATATAGTACGATAGTAACTCTACAACCTATATAGTACAATAGACGATAGTAATTCTCAAACTTCTCATATAGCAGTGACTCTGACAGTAAACATCAAATTAATATTTCAATATATAACAGTAACTTTAGCCGTTTTTGATAATTGACAGAACACGCTCCACACACACACAAAAATGGATTCTTGTTTGATCACCCGCACTTTAATCAATCAAATATGTATAAATCAAAACTTGATCGCAATCATTTGAAATATTAATCAAAAATTGTGAAAACATAATTATCGTGGCAATAAAATGAGACGATGTTTTTGATACAATTATTAGGATTCCTTTTGAGGACAGTACCTGATGTCAAAAAAGTTTAATTATAATTGTTGAATGAAAGAAAAACTTTTTTTCAGGATGACAGATTTTTTATAACACTATTACATTTGATTTATTGCCAACACCCAAAGAATTAAGCAAGAAACAATTTTATTTCCAAAATTACTGAATATTATCCTCATTTTCTCATTATATGAAACCTTTTCTCCTGACAGTTCAGCAAAAAAAAAATTCATTACAACAAATCTCATGGAATTCATTGTCAACTTTCTTTTTATTAATTTACACTGGGTTTTTTTTCTTTCATTTTTTCATTTTTTTCATTTTTAGAGTAATTTTGAATTTTAAATACTTCTTGCATTTGAAATATTCTACAATACAACAAGTATCCTGGTTTGTTGTAAGTTACAGATTTTTTATTCTATTTGATGTAGTTGTAGGTGAATGATGCCTGTAGTATATAACCCAGTACTTTACCTGATAGAAGGCCAGTAACTCTTGGTCTACCTTTTAATACTATTAATGATATAAAGGCTGAACAAACAGGTTTCCACAAATCAATTAAAATCAAAGGAAATATTTAAACATTAATATCAAAATGAAGTTCTATAGAACGTGATAATGACTATTGATAAGAAGTGAACTTGTAAAATTATTTTGAGAAGAAAAATTTACAAGTTAAATATTTTTTATTTGTACCATTAAAAATATATATCCCCAATAGTTTAAATATTAATCCTTCTATCTCAATTAAATTTACTGATAGTTTGATGAAAAATTCAATTATATTGGGTTCCTTTATTTAATTGAAGATATATTTTTTATTCAAAACCTTTCTATAGTTTTCTTATAAACATATTCTTTTTGTGTTTGAAAATCTCTCAATATTATAAATTGGAAACATTTTCACAAATTATGAAAAAAAGAAGCTTAACAGGTATTGAGATTCTGAGATAATTTTTATTTAACATTTTTAATTATTTCATTTATACATATCAATCCCTCTTGTTGGCCTAGATGGAAACCGTCTGGGGAAGGGGAAACCAAAGTACCCGCAGAAACACACATGGCCGGGCAGGTGACCCCAAACCATCTTCATTCTGATCGGGGAATGAAACTCTGGCCGTCATAGTAAAAGGGGAGTGAGCTTATACTACTGCGCCCCTCAACCAACCTTAAACTTGACCATTTTAATGATGTAAACTTGAATAAAAGCATTTTTTTCTCTGTTATTTTTCAGAAATATTCATTGTTCGTTATTTTTAGAAGTACACATTTTTTCAGGAGTTTTGATATCATAACTTTTATCAGACACAGGGTGAATATTCGGTGACAACCTCATGTTCTGGATTCTTCAATATTCATTTCAGAAAATATAATTCATTTTTTGTCATCTTCAACTTATATTTATTCTATAGTGGGGAAAGTAAGATTTTAAATCTAACGGAAGTTTAACATTTTTTTTTTTTTTCAAACTTCACTTTGTTTATGTAAGATACAAAAAGTAAATATTTCGTAAATAGCAAAAACGGATGTCATTGGTTACAATGCTTCTTTATAATTTCAACTGCCAATTTCTGTCGCATCCTCAAGAGAATACCTCTCTGAAGAAATTTCATTGGATAAAAATAATAATACTTCACCGATTCTAAATGGATAATTTTAAAATCTTGAATATAATTTGCTGACTAAGGTTTGAATGAAAAAAAATGTGAGTCAGTTTAATCACTGTAATTCTGGATTGTTCTAAAGTTAAAAACAAGATTTGTCAATAAGATAAAAAAAAAATGGATTTTTTTTCCACCTCCGTAGAATTATGTATGTACTCTCTGTCTCACAATCATCTGATGGAAACCATTAAACGATGGATTTTTTTCTCGATGGCATTTAAGAACGGACTGTATACACAAAAACGTACCACAGATAAAAGATTGAAATCCATGGAAATTTAAACAGAATACATACATATAGAAGACCAGTCTACACAAGATGAATTTCCTTCCTCAATTTTAAAATAGCTTTTAAAAATGGTCTGGAATGGAAGGAGCACAGACACTAAATGGGAAAAAAAAATCTCAATTTTTACAACTGCTTTTAAAAAAGGTCTGGAATCGCGGATTTTATCCCGCGGCGGCCAAGAAATCACTCAGACTGTACACCTGACAAGGTGTCAGAAGTTTGAAAAAGGACAAATTGTTTTTTGCCGTGGCTGAAAAAGATTCGGAGGCGGACTCCGGAGATGAGACTGAAGTAGTGGTACTTACTGGACTCTCCGGCTGGCTGTTCCGTTTGGCTTTCCGTCATAGCTTGTGACAACGGATCGGGCACCGGAGGAACTGTAGGAGTAAACAAGAAGAGTTTAAACTGCAGAATGACAGGGGGCCACAAACTAATCACGCTAGGCCGCAAAGTCCGGTGCAGGTCGTCTGCTACCACTGGCACCAAACAAACACGTTTTTTTTCCAGTAAAGTAGTAGAAAAGACAATCCAGGAAGTACCATATAACAGACACACATGTATCCAACGAGAGTGACGGAAACCCTCCACACAAATGGTTTTTAAGGAATCAATTTAACAACTTACTCTTTTTTTCCGTTTTTGTTGAGTTTGCCAATTAGGAGATAATACTGCCGACAGTGGTAATATACCCTGTGTTATAATTGACCCCTGTTACTCAATCCCACTACAACCTGCTAAGCTTTAATATTCTCCGTAAACTGAAAGTAGCTGCTATACAGAGAGCGTGGCGGTGAGGCTGTCGGTGGCGGGGCAGGTTCGCAATGATAGTTGGGGTTATATACAGGTGATTGATCCGGCCCCATCACACTCTCCGCTCATACTACATGCTCAATAAAAACACAATCTTTACCCAATAAGACACTGTTACTGGCCCAGACAACACAAACCCATCATCTGAATACACCATACCGTTATAGCTAGAGATTACAGTTTCAGCTATTGATGATATTCTATCATACAGGAACAAAACAAACAAACAAATCTAAAAACATCAGTAAGAGTATAATCATTTCAAACATCATTTAAAAATACAGCTTTCCAAGTCACAGGATACATCTAGTAAACTGAAATATCTTTGAGATGGAAAATAAATAAATCAAGAATTCATGTGATTACAGCTAGGGCAGTGTTTTTTCCTGGTGTAAGTTTTTAGACAAGAGGCCCAGAGGATGGATGGCCTCATGATAATTTCTATGATGTTTGTTCATGTTGTGCTCTGGCAAGAAAATGTTCTTTTTGCCAACAATTTTTGTTAATTATGCTTATAGCCTGAGGAGCATGTTCATGTGTAGGTATTTATAAAATAGGCATACTCAGACATGTACACAGTCATGAGCAGACGACACTACACTCAAATAGACTTACACAGCATATACTAATTAACACACAGCCTACTAAACCATACGGTAAAAAAAGCTACACACAGTACATTATCACCCAATGTCATGCTAAGAAATAACTATATGAGCACGTGCACGCTCAGAGGTAAGCTAGCTAAGCATGCTCAAGACTTTAAACACCTGAGCACTGAGGGTTCCGGGTTCAAATACCAGTCAGGCGGTACATTTTTTCTGCTCCTAATACAAATAAACAAGATACAAAGCATGGGGTGCATTCTGTCTTAGTGGGGAAAGCAGTGGGAAATAAAACTAAGTGAAAGAGAATTTAATGAACGAGTATCGATTGTTATTGGAAACGTAACCTTAACTTATATGTGATGTTTTGCTATGTTTAAAAATAATGATACAAGAACAATAGTTTACTATGATAATTGTTTGACAGTCTGCCATCATTGTAGATAAAATGATGTCACAAAAATAATTTTGTTTGTATTGCAAACAAAACAAAAAACAAAACAAAAACAGAGGCTCAACAAATTCACTGATAAAACAGTTGTATATGTTCAAAAGGGATGATTAAAACTGGTCCAATAGTGACGTTGCAGTAATGAATGTCTGACGCCGACTACGTAAAACAGACGAGCCTTTAATCATTCACCTTTGTAGAAGAGTTCAAAACAATCATTTCCTAGCTTGAATTTTCAAGCTTACAGAAATATTGTGACTAAAGAAGGGACATGATCCCTTGAGAATCCCTGAGCAGACGACGTGGTATTGTACAAAGCATGCTGCTGGCCATATGACATAATCAACAAAGCAAACCAATCATTTTTCAATTCCATTTTTTTTCTTTCTTTTTCTTTTGCAGAAGATCATTATAATGATCACAAAATGTTTGGATTACCATATATCTAAAACTTTTTAAATTAAGTCAGTACCGGGTAATAGTTTGTTTTAAATGTTTGAATATTCTGTTATTCATAAAAATGTTTATCAAAGGCCATATAATTTTAACATTACATACACCTGAAATGTCACCCATGTAAAGATGCTTTCTATACATGTATTTTACATTCCTCTTGCAAGTCCCTAAATGATAACACTACCAGAAGTTGCCTTCTGAGTCATTTTGATGCTTGTATAACATGACACCATCATAAGAAGCAAACATTGAGGTAACTTAGTCTGTTTCAGGAATACTCTTTGTATTCATGATATAACATACCCTTTTTCTAGTAACTACAGAAACACAGTGGATGGAGTTTTAATGGACAAAAAGTATGATGTTTCTGAAATGTTTAGATGCTACGATATAAAGGATTTAACGACAAACTTTGTCAAGCTATGACTGAGTAAGCGATTTGTATTTTTTACATGTACAACAATGTGACGGAATTGTACATTTTTTATGTCACTCAACCAGGGACTTTTCGCCTATCGATAGGGAACGTATAAACAATGCATCAGATAGGTTACAGGGTGTAGATCTAGCCCCCTCCCCTGTTATGTCAGTATCTCATTATACAGATGACTCAGCTGGTGTCCCCCCTCATCTCTGTTCATGTTTTGAGTTTTCCTGATTTCACAATAAAATATGTTTAAATCAAGGTAATATGAGATGTTTATGTCCTTTAAATAAAATCAAAATCACAACAGTACAGGAATCTTTAACTTGGCCAATTACAGCAACCGTGTGTCTGCCAAATGCCACAAGATGACATCCAGGATATATTAACAGCTATATATCAGGAGTGGGGTGAATATTTTTTTGAAGTTTGTAGCACGTAATATTTACCTTGCAAGTGAAATGTAATTGTTTTTCATCAAGAAACTTTTAATATTTTGTTTATTACAGTTTCCTTAATAAAGCGTCAGCTTTTTTGAAATGATAGCCTATCAACCGCCAAGACATGCTGAAACAAGGTATGCTACTATTGTGACCTCAGTTTTAAAAGTATCGGGGCTAGCGGGCACTGGAATGATCATGTCTAAAGTGTACATGATTGAGAGCAATTTTTTCCATAATAGAACAATAAATTGACAATTTTGATATCATAATTTTAATTTATTTGCATCATTTTTGATGATAACTGTCATTGTGTAAATTTTTATCCTTCTGTGAAAACTTCCGATTTTTTTTTCAAAGAAGATAACTCTCACCAGGAGTAAAGTGATTGTAAAAGGTAAAATAAATTAACGTAAAAACCCATGTAATTTGCGCACTTTTTTTGAGAAATTTAATGCCCAAAGTGGGGGGTGCGCAAAATATATAGGTGTAAGCAATTTCAAGGTTTTTTTCATGAAAAGATCGACGATTCTGGCAGACCGCCATCTTGGACATGAGATAATCTCCCTTGGTACACGGAATTCAAAGACAAACGACGATCAACATATTTATTTATGTCAAACATCAATAAAAGATACAATTGATACATACTGTGTTGTTACCCGAGTTTGTGTGAAAAGTATTATTAAATAGGTAACCGTTAACAAAGCAAGTTTAGCCAAATTCCTATGCCAGAGAATCGCCGATCAACTTATGTTTCGACATCTCGGCGCGTTTTCCCCCCATACTATTACGAAAATGTAGTTGTTCAATTTTAAGCTCCGTTCCATGTATGTAGGTTCTGTTAGTTTTTTTCTTTCAAATCGCATATGCTTTTTACTGTACAGCATGTTTTTTCCCCGGCTCACTTTCACATGTTGATCTCGCGTCTAACACTACGTAAACACGTGATTGATAATAACCTCGTGAATTATTTCAATATTTATTAAACGAAGCATCGTAAAAATAGTCTGCTTTGATTCCCCCCCCCCTTGGAGTAGATTTGAAGAGGATGTGTTGATTATCCACGCTTCTAGTATAAACATATTTTTATATAATCCCTTATCGGTCAAATCTTTGTTATGACAAAGCAGTAGGACTTCGTAATTCATGCCACGTGTTGGCGAGTGTGAACAAAAACAACAACACGGTCCTGTCGATCGCGACTGCAAATCATTTCAATTATATTTCAGTAGAGCTATTGTTAACGGGTAATCACAGAGATAGTGTTAGCTAATTACTGCATTGTAATTTGTATTGACTGTGGGGTTGAGAAGTGTCAATAATTTATGCTGACCTGGTTTGAAGTGACGATACCCAAGCCGCCATGATGAGCCCTTCTCACTGATCGTAATTATGATCAATAAAAGGTATCTAATCCAGCGGTTACTAAACATCAAATTACTTATTAATTGATATGCTTTTGTAAGCGTAAGCAAGTAAATGTTTTCTGTAAATTATTGCTAAAATAAATTGATGTATGCCGATATGTGCACACGTGTGTGTCATGTGTGATCAGATATTTCAAAGGAAACAAACAACAAAATACACATTTTACGCAGTTTCTTCTTAGTTTTAACATCATTGTACCTGTAAACAATACTTATGAACTTACTTATAATAAACAAATTACAAAAATCCTAAGAATCCCAAGCGGTTTGTCTTTCATTTTCAGAGATCGATTTTCGGAAACTTGAGCATCCTTTTTTTTCCAAAAATAATTGGTGCGCAAAATATTCGAGTAGAACCTTTTTTGAGGATTTTCAGCCTCAAAAAGTACCTGCGCAAATTACATGGGTTTTTACGGTAATTATGGAGACATCGCGTATATTTTGTTCAATTTCCCACTTTTTATGTATGAAACTTTGTGTCCTGTTTGCTTTTAGCTTGAAGATTATCATTTTTATCGATACAATTTCAATAAAAATCACTTTGTGTAAAAAACAACAACCTTCAGGGCTATAATGTGACGTTACAGTTGACAATGCTCTTTGTTTGTTATTTTTCTCAGCAATTGGTCAGACTTGTGTGCAAATAAATAACAGATAGTCTTTAAAGAAAAATATCAACTTTATTTTCACTGTTAAAACTTATTCTGGTAAAAATGTAATAATTCATAATATTATGTTTTGTGAAATGGCACTCAAATTTT